TATATATGTATACCAGCTTTTAGACAAGCATGGTGCCAACACCACAACAGAATAAGGGGTAAACCCCATATGCAAAGCTATACTGTAAGGAGAAAGCGGCGCGGGTGACTTTCGGGTGAAAGCCAGTTTCTTGATTCTGCTTTTGAAAGACAGCTAATAAATGGTTGGAAACAAAATCCTGCATAAAAACAAATCGGGAAGTTAGAAGTCCAGGTGACTATCCGCCTAACAAAGAGATGTATGGGAAAAAAACAGGGCGGCGGAAAGCCGACAAGTTTGTCTTTGAAGGACAGAGAGCAAACTAGTGGCTTCGAAAAGATATATCGAATGAATGCTTCAAGATGGGAAGCGAATGCAGTTTTGGAGTTATAAACGGTTCGTCAATCATCCAGATGACCTTACGTCAAACCCGTCGGGAAGAGAAAGAATATAATACCATGCTGCAACCATATGTGAATGCGGTATTCGAGCATCAGGCCGATTTCAGCTTTGTATAAAAGGAAAAAGGAAGCGCTTAGCGCGTAATAGGAAGCCAACTTGTCGCACTGCATGAGACTCAAATGTAGATGTAACCGAGACCAACCGGGAGAATGATTTATGAATACACCCAGCGGAGAGAGAATTTGTGAAACGAAGGGGAGATTTGTCAAAAATCATTTGGGGAAAGTAAGGCATTGCAAAGATAGACGTTTGTAAGGTGTTCAAACAAATATGATTGGTAGAACCCCATGCGGAGGTGAGTCTGAGATCAGAGACAAAAGACACTAATGACATTGCAATTGTGACCGATGTTGGTAGTGGCCTGGTGGGTCGTGGGTTAAGAAAGAGATCAACGGGAACTGGTATCACCGGTGAAACCGGTGTCCCAGATCTCAGATTTGGGACACGGTCAAGATAGGACTCATCATCATCATCATCGTACAACGAAATACATTGAAGTGAACTTCACCGATCTCTACCAAACTCGCAATGCATATAAGGTTAGTGGTAATACGTAAAGTGGACAGGGATTGGACCGGTTTAAAGGGAGGGGAAAGAAATTCATCCTCTGTGGTCAACAACTGAAGTACACAACCTAACGGTGCATACGAACCGTTTCGGGTATTCTGGCCTGATAAGAAATGATGACAAGAACGCCACTGCTGCTGGTTCACTGCCATATCATTTAATGTCTCCAACCAACCAGTTGCCGAGTCTTATGGCCCCCAACCTGAAAGGCGCGAGACCTACTCTGCATACTGGCTCTGTGCATTTCTTCATGCCTCGTCTTCACATCATCTGCTGACCTCCACGTGATTTCCTCCAGCCCGGAGCGGCTACAGCGAATGAAGTGTCGTGCGGTAAACGACAACTGAGCATATGCTATACCCTAGCCAACGAAGCCTACTAATCTGAATTGGATGTACTGGCAAGTTTATCCCAGATAAACTCCCAATCACACGACGGCCTACCTCTAGATTATTACCTGTTGGTCCCATCCCACGTAGACTAAACTACGTAAACACCAATAGTCGAAAACTTCTAGTCGATGGATGTCTTCCCGCAAATTTAAGGTCTCACAATCACGAAGCAGAACTGTACGAACGGTAGCACGAGACACACGATCTTTCAGCTTCAGTGAAACGTCGCGTTTACGCCAAAGGTGTTCCATTCCTGCGTACGCTGCTAGAGTCTTTGAACCAATAGCGGCTGTCTCATTTGCTGCGTTGCCGTCATTGGTCACATAACTACCTAAGTGGAAAAAGCAATCCATTATAACTAATTCCTGGTTATTTCGTTTCAAAGAAGGACTAGACGACACCCAGTCTTGCAACATCACTTCAAAGGTGCAAAGCACTTACCGAATGTTAGCCTATCAAGTGCGCACTGTGTGCCCTCCGTGAATTCAAACAGGCAAATGAGATCATCGGCGTACTCTAAATCATGCAACTTTTCACGAGCTGCTCGTTCAATACCTACGTTTTGGAGACCAATAAGTGCGTTCTCCAGTATTTTGTCTAGGACGAAATCGAATAAGAATGGCGAAAAAGAGCACCCTTGACGAACACCGCTGCTAGTTAAGAACGACCTACTCATCTCGCCGTAGATCCTTACGCTACCAGAAGTATACAAATTGAGTGAACTCAGTATGTTCACGTACTTCTGGAACCTTCCTTTGCAAAGGAGTGAACCAATAAGGGATTCACGATCAACTGAATTGAAGGCTCCTTTTAGGTCAAGAAACACGACAATTGTTGGTCAACGATGCGTATGGCGTAGCTCGAGGACTTGGTGCAGAGTGAAGATTTGATGGATACAACCGCGGCCTGGTCGAAATCCTGCTTGTTGTTCGCGGATGTTTGTCTCCCTGAACGATGTCAGACGTCGAAGTACGATGGAGGCTAGTAACTTGGTGACGTTTGGGATCAAACTTATTCCACAGTGTGTGCGCAGTCGTTGCGAGGTCCCTGCTTAAAAATGGGAACAATCAGTGATCCGCTCCAGGATGATGGAATGCGCTCGTGTGACTATATGTTACGCATTATATCAGTAATTG